ATGAATTAAAGGACCGAAATGGCCCGACTGTGGCACACTGTCGAAGCGTATACAAAGCAAGCAAGTGTTAACACCGATGATTAAAATAATTTCATAACATGGATGTAGCGTGGTACTGATTATTAATAAACGAAGCTAAGGGTATAAATAAATATAGAAAAGCTGTACTCTTAGTTGCATATTTCATGTAATACCATTTTTATTTTGTGCATATTTGCCCCAGTAACAAAGTATTCTAATGAAAGCTGAGTCATACTGTACAGAGTTCTCTACCTATATACACAATAGCTGTGAAAGGACCCATAAAGATGTCTTGCTCCACGTCTGATAAAAATCCTTTTGACATGGTTGTTTAGCATGTGAATAATTTGCCGGGAAATTTCCAAACAATAAAAATAATGTCAAGCAAATAAAACATAATACAAGTTTATATTATTTTTTCCTAATTATGAAAAGAGGTTTCGAATACAGCACTTGTAAGCTTTTAACATGAACACCTTCAAGTAAAAAAAACTGCGAAGAACTAGGATCGCCTGAAAAAGATCACCTTTATAAGTCAACAGCGTAGAATCATTCCTTACACAGTGTTATCCAATCCACCATAAAGTACAGGCTTCGAATGCCCTTTGTACAAGCAAGAAAAGATAGCGTTGAGAAATAGCGTCTTCAGTAGTTACTACCTTAAATCTACACCGGTAAGGGCACTTTATCCTGCCAAAAAAAATCCGTTTCATCTAAGCCTTACCGTTTGCAAAGTAATTGTAAAAAAAAAAATAAAGAAAGAGACACAACAATTCTCTAATCACTTTGCGTGTCTGAACATATTTCTATCATGGACCTTATTGCGTAAACAACTATTCCTATATGCTATTTTTTTTTTTTATTATTTCGTTCCATTTCATTATTTCTACTAAATTTAATTCAGCATATTCGGTCACTTACCGTTTGTTTATCCACTTTTCAGCGAACTCGTTCATCCATTCCTCAGATGTACATTTATTAACTAAACGTCATGAGTGATACGAAATCTTCCCACTTGAAAATCCGCGACGACGTTGCCCTCCAATACTACCCTCTCTGGATCGGCTATGTGCCGCCTATAGGTTACCTCCAACAATAACTAATAGTGTTGTAATTGTTCGTACAAAGTCTTAATTATATGCAGCCAATTCTAATCTGTTGGGGTAGTTCAGTTTTTAAGCTCCCGACGCGCCCACTATTTTTAAACCAAATGCGGGTTGGAAACCCACCTATAGATCAGACCTGTTCTTCGAAGTTGTCATTTTTCGACTAGTCTGAGATTTTTTTGAATCTTTGTAGCCATTGTTGAACCGTTCTTCTTCCAAACTGAACTTTTACTATAGCTTAAATTAATCGCTCTTTCCATAGATGCTAACAGGCAATTAAAGTGACTATCGAATTGCAAGGGAACAGTACATAAATTTATATACTTTTTTTTTTTTTAATATACTTCTTTTAAGGTTTATACTTATATTGATTTAGGTATAAACTTGCATGGAGCGTACAATGGTCTAACTAAAACTTCTAGCCACACATATCACCTCTGCTAAACACGTAAACAAAAAAATTGTAACTATCCTGTGACTTTTTTCGTTTGTCGTGTGTTACTGCAAATCTTCAAGTCATGCCGAAATACATACGGCATTTATCAATTCGGCAAGATTTTTATTTAGTTGTGCTCAGTATAACTACCGCTGTTATAGATATACCACTAAGGTTTTTGATCGTGATTAATACCACCAGTAATAAGGCCATAAAAGCAAAGTGAAACCTGACAACATATTGTTGCGTATCGGGCAGGCTTACAAGACGTTCTTAATGACTTAACATCTGTTTAATTATTGATTCGTACATCCGAGTTTGCTATGGGTTTCTCTATTTAACTTACTTGCTCTAATCTAATCGCGCTATCACAAAGGTCTTCATAATTGATTTTCTCGTGACGATTTCGTTATGGGTGCGTCCAAAGTTTACGTGCCGTTTATTTCGATATATATCATCTATATAACATAACAGTAACAATGAAAGGGTAAATGTGGATGATCGGCCATTGGCTGTCTCGAAAGTACCAGGGTACGCTTCTACCAGTTAGAATTAACCAAATTATGAAAATTAGAAACAAACGGGTTACTTAGTAGTCACATGTGTTAATTGTTGTTCATTACGTTTTGCCGTCGTTGTCATTCAACCAATAATTGCACATATTGGAACTGGCGTTTTCGTTAAAATATGCTTATGCAACTGGTAAAATACAGTTAATACAAATAGAAACCATGCACAGGGACGCGATTCCTTTTCCATGCTCATCTGTGTAGCCCGGAGAGAACAATGCCGCGATATTTCTTAACGATAAATCACTCAGTTTAATTATAGTAGTGATAAACAAAACTTACTGCAACCACAAAGTCTCAATTATTCAGAAGTAGATATTACTTCGTTCGGTTCCACATGTTCGTCGAACGCATATTCTATCTCCATATCATCGGGGCCGATATCCAACTCTTGGTGAATTTCCCAGCCCTTTGCGACTATCTTCCTCTTATTGTCTGCTGTCCTCGCACGATCCTGATGTTGTCGTGCATAATGAGTCTCCATTTGACGTTTTTGCCGAAATCGTCGACGGCACACGCTGCACGAATGAGGTTTCTCACCTGTGTGTAATAACAAGTGCGTGTCTAGACGGCTTTTTGTGTGAGCCCTATACTCGCAATAGGGACAGCTAAACTTTCGTAGATGAACATGCGAACGACTCATATGCTCATCAATATCTTGTTTGATTACCTCGCGGTAAATGCATATCGAGCAGTCCAACGGAGAACAACAATTTGAATTATCTACAGCAGGAGATACATGGGCTTCACGGACGCGTGCGTCAACGGCATCCTGTCTAGCCGCTTCAAATAGACAGTGTGGACACTTGAAGGGGCGACATTCGTTGGTGGCATGCTTTATAATACGAGAGTGAGCAAATGCGGTCCCGTTAACTTGGTAGAGAAATGGCTTGACCGTCGTATGCAGACGTCTGTGAGCGATAAGGTGCGAAGCCCGCTTGAAAGTCTTTCCACAGCTCTTGCATTTATATGGTCGTTCGTCCGAGTGAACACCCAAATGTTCGTGTAAACTCTGCTTCCGAGCAAAAACTTTACCGCAGCCTGCGAATCCGCAGGTAAACTTCTTGGTCGCGACAGCCCACTTCTTTGCAGGTGCTGCCCATCGTACCAGACCAGATTGACTGATTCCGTTTGACGTTAAATTTGCCCTAGATATAACTGCCGAAAATTGTTGGACTATCCGTCTGCGTGAAAGTTGTTGTTTTTTCTTTGGACTAGTACCCTTTTCGACGTCACCTCCCACGGCAGGACAGTGCAATATCGGGATATCGTCGACGATTTCAAAGCCGAAGAACTCCGGGTCAAATTCCATAGGGTCAGCAGTTTCACCTAGGCCGCTAACTGAAATCGAAAATGCGTTTGGCGGACCTGTCGCGTTAGTTTCTGGCTGAAATTCAACAACCTTTTCAAGGCGTCGGGTGGTTTTGTCTGGTGTTGCCGGAAGAAATGATGTAGATTATACTTTAACGGTTAATATACTTTAACCTTTTAAAGGTTTCGAAGTAATATCAAACATATACCGAACCATGGCCCAAGCTGACAAAGGGGTCCAGGGTTTAGTGGGTGAGAGTCCCACAGTACCGGACAAAGCACAGTCAATGTCCGGTCTGCATAATGCATTTGCCCTTAACCTCCAAAAAAAAAAAGATTATGCTTCAACGTATTATACCCTAACAATTCATAACAACATACATCAGATTAAAATTGGTTAAACAGTGAGCTATATATATACATGTATATAATCTGACCCATGCCCATGACGGTTATGCAACCCATTAAATTAATCGTTAAATAATTTAAGCACATATAATATTTTCTTAAAATATATTTCTTCAAATGTTCCAGCAAGACACTTACCACCGGAAACTTGTCTTATTTTTGGCATATTTGAACGTTACTAGTGGCGTATTTTGGACGTCAAGATGAAACTACACAAAAGACAAGCGCAAAAAATCAATTCAGTTTTTGTAAAATCACTTTAGCTCTAAAACTAGCTACATATAAATTAATAATAATAATAATAATAATATATAGTAATCCGTAAGCAGTATACTTACCTTAATACTATGCTTCAAATACTAAAATACGTGAGCTGACACTTCTTTGTTACGTCATGACATTACAACAGTGTTGTTGTAGACAACAATTACAAACAAATTTTACAGACAAAATTTACACAAATTCAAACCTAAAAGAGACTTGCGCACCACTAGGCCACTTTGTCATCCTCTAAAAGTAAAAAATGATACACCTTTCAGGCTAACCACCATCAACGATTGTATTTCCTCGTGAAACTGGCGCAGTATAACGAAACATATCTATTCGTGGTATCGTTACTCGCTGCTAACTCGTATGGTTCAATTGAGTTCCTTCTGTTTGTGATTGTTTTATTATAGGCTTAAGCTGAACATAATTAATAAACAAAATGGCGCCATTTGGCGGTCGTACCGATTCCATAAAGTGCATCATTTGACTGAGGTTTCTATGAAGCACGCCTCGTTAATGACAAACGATTCGTTTTAAATTTTAATGCTAACTAAGCTTATTTTCTCAGTTAGCATTCAAGTCCATAGAACTATTGTTTTATACATAAAACCATTTGGACACTAAAAAAATCTCAGAGCATGGGAAATCTAAATAGCGGTTTTGGCAGTGTTCGAGGCGTTCCGTTTTGAAAAAGGTATCGTTGTTATCGTGATGCGCTCTGCGACAACGATGCTGTGCTCAATATCATCTTGCAGAATTATGGACACTGCAACAAATGTGCCTGCCGTATTATATGGCAGATAATGCATAGCGGAAAATGTCAAAGCTATGCTTCCTGTCATGAATACTTTTGGCCAAAAAGATTGCAATGATTGAAAAATCTCGCCTTTGAAAGGAACATTGTGAGGGCATTCCTTTGTCGTCATTATCAAACAACATTAACCACTGTTTGGAGATAAGCCCGAATACCCTTTCCGTAAAAAGAAAATTAATAGTTTTCGTAAGAAATCTAGGCCATCGGACGCGCCTTGGCCTACCGATAGAGCAGATTCATACCGTCATTAACGAAATTGAAAAAAAAACGATTCTATAGCCATCTTGTGCACTTAACGAGACTTCTATCATTAGCTTTTTACGCAAATAGTTATTTCCATATTCTGTATTGGAAGCAATGGATCATTGAAGCAATCTATTTGATTGAACTACTTTTACTGAATCTCTGTTTGTCTTTTCCTCCACTTTCCATTTTTTTGCCTATCGCGAAAGTGATTCGTCCGAAATCGAGTCTTTTCGCAACCTCTATGTGCATTAATCAAACAATTTCTCTAGTTATACTAGATTTTTGCCTTCGATGGTCTCTATGGACGTTCTGCTTTGGTACTACTATTTGTATCAGGTACGTGTCGCATATGGTCTTCGTCAATATTTGTTGCTCTTCACACGAATTACCAGCAGTAAGTATTTGTACGGAGCTTTGATTATATGCAACCAATACGATTAGTGCCGTAGTTCGTTTTTTTCCTATATATTACTGTTTTCAAGCTATCAACAAGCACTTCTGTGTTTGTTATACGTCTGTCTGAAAGCCACATATAGATCCGTTCCAGCCAAAAATGCTTCTAATTTTTTTCTCCAAAGTTATTGTTTTTCGACAACTTCGAAGCTTTGTAGCTTTTTCAACCGTTGCTGGATCGTCTTTTTCTCGAGATGTTATACCCTTACTACAGCTTAGTTTATATAAGCTGCTCTGATAGGTGCCAATAAGCAACCGATATCATTATAAGATCCCAGGAGAACATTTAAGTTTCGATAAAATAAATTATCAATACAAGCGGATATATTTACTTGTTTTCTTATAATGAAATAGCTGAAAGGTTAGCTGATTTGACAAGACAAACAATGCAACAACCGATAGAGATGGATTGCCGAACGAACCCAGCGTGAACATTGTGGGGTAAATATACTTATAAATTATGTCGAGCACGTCCAAAAAAACCAAAAATTTTCTAAAATATAATATGCTATGTTAGTTTTAGGGGAAAAGAGTTTGTTCAGCAGGAAATGGCCTGTCAAACAAGAGAAATTTCAGACTGTTTTTTTTTTACAGAGAAAAGAAGCTTTGTCTCGAAATCGGTAGCGCTCAGAACCATCAAACATGGATTTACAGAAAATGACATCAGCAGACGGAAAAATACACGGGATAAAATACTTTCAGCCACTTTATCATTTTATGAAGCCGTTGAACAGCTTTGTGAGTTAAATGTTGCAGCTTAGCACTTTCGAGTCAAGGAGACTAATAGCTGAATTGGCCGCCTCGAAAAAGCAGTCAGAGGATGCCCACTGCTGGCCTTAATTATTGCAATTTCTTTTATATCTGCTAGATTTAATATTATCGAGATTAAAATAATGAGCATTATTATTTACTGTTCAGATCGGCTTAGGAAATGCGCATATAAACTTCCCACAGGATGGTTGGTTTTAGAAGCCCAATTTCGTTGTATGTCACATCTCGTTTGTGTCAATGTTGACTGGACAAGCAGCTGACGTTTGTCACTACGTTTTCAAATATTAGAATATTTCTGGCCAGCCTGAACAAAACGGGCTCCGATAGAAGAATGGCTTAATCCCTTCGTGCTAGATAATGCGAAATTTACATCAATAAACCATTCATTTATCTGCACAAATTATTATACCCTTCTGAATAAATAGCTCGCTATCACTTGTAAAATTATAAGTATATAGTCACCAGTAGTGCAAACACGCTGTTTCCCGACGTTCTACGACGGTTGACTGATGCTTTTTGGCACCAAAGTGAGGCGATTATTGGCCTATTGAAATTTTTCGTGTTTTTTTTTTCAATAAACTCATTTTTTCTCGCAACGTAACCGAAAACTAGGTTATTTCCTGTGTACTCAATGTTCCAGCTCAGATGTGATGAGATCCCCATAATCGTTTTTGTACGTATACGCTGATGCGATTTTATCACACTGATTTTTGATTTTATTCTAGCAATGTTTTCAGAACTCTAATATTTAGTCAAAGCAATTTCTGATGGTTTTGCCAAACCATTTGAGGTCAAGCATTGGAGCTGAGCCTACTCAAATGTGTCTTGCTGAGCTTTTCTTTTAACAAGCAGAGTGATCTGCAAAATGACAGTTGTCATAAAAGAAAACACGGAGAAATGTATGGCACTAGGAAATTTTCTCAGATGGACGAATTGCTAACTTTACCTGTAGCACAAGCCTAAATGAAGAGACGTTTCCAGAAATCTAACGTGATGTATGGAAAATAAATCTAGCAAATGCCAGATTTCGGATGAAAATATTACATTCTAATTTAAACTTCCAGTTACATGAATCAGCAACACTGAAAACGCAGAAGAAAGAATGGCAGTATTTTTTTTAACTCTTATTTTTTACTCAACTTTATTTCAGCTTTAATACAGAAAGGTTTCGCGCAGGTTTTTCTAGGTTTCTAAACACACGCGTACATATGCTTTTTTCGCTAAACATACGGATGGGTGTGTACACTAAATTATAAAAGTATCAGCCTGATTTCGTTCATTCTTTGGTCGGTCAATTTCATTGCTTCCGTTTTTCGTCGCATGAGTACAGCGAATTTTCTGCGAATTGCACAGTAATACACAACGCGTACGTATGTACATGGCATATGGGAATCAGACAAGGTTTTTACTTAATTACACTATAATCATCTATTAGCTATATCTCAAACAATGCTAGAGTCTTCACTTGTACAGGATTATATCTGCCTATATAAATTACATATATCTTATGCGGCTAAAACTACTTACATACAAATCGCAGTTAGTACCAGCAATAACAATAACATGAAGGCGAATATGCACGGATCACAATTAAACATGAGAACGCTTTGCTGCGCATCGGGAACAGGCTCGCAGGACGTTCTTAATGACCTAGCGTTTGTTTAATTATTGATTCGTACATCCGAGTTCGCCACGGGTTTCTCTATCTGTCTTACTTTCTCTAATCTGATCATGTTATCACAAAGATCTTCATAATCAGCTTTCTCGTAACGATTTCGTTATGAGCGCGTCTAAAGTATACGTGCCGCTTATTTCGATATATATCATCTATATAACATAACAGTAACAATGAAAGGGTAAATGTGGATGATCGGCCATTGGCTGTCTCGGAAGTACCAGGGTACGCTTCTACCAGTTAGAATTAACCAAATTATGAAAATTAGAAACAAACGGGTTACTTAGTAGACATATGTGTTACTTGTTGTTCATCACGTTTTGCCGTTGTTGTCATTCAACTGACAAGCGCAGATAGTTGAAGTTGGTATTACCTTTACTTTCGCGTTTAAATAACTATACGTTTACGCAACTAGTTAAATAAAATAAAATAAAAAGTGGGAAAATTAAGAGAGCGTGAAAATGCGTTTTTTTCTGTTTATCAGGGTCGTACATAGGGGACAATACTCTGTAGATTCAATCAATGCCTTAATAACGTCTTGATATTTTGCAACAACAGGTTGTTCAGTGACAATAATAATGAAGTGGACGAAAATGACTACTATCACAAAGTTTCAATCATTTAGAAGGAGGTATGACTTCATCCAGTATAATTGGTTTTACATCTATATCTTCGTCGGATACAACTTCTATCCTTGCATCGTTTGCGCCGACGTCAAACCCGTGGCCAATTTTTCTGTCCTCTGTGACCATCTTCCTTTTACTGAGTTTCGTCTTAACGTGATCCTGATGTTGACTTGCGCAATGAGTCTCCATTTGACTCTTTTGCCGAAATCGTCGACCGCACACGCTGCACGGATGAGGTTTTTCACCTGTGTGTAATAACAAATGTGTGTCTAGACGGCTCTTTGTATGAGCCCTGTATTCACAATAGGGGCAGCTAAACTTCCGTAGATGAACGTGCCGACTCATATGATCATCCAGATCTTGTTTGGTTACTGCACGGTAAATGCATAGCGGGCAGTCTAACGGAGAACGATTTGAATTATCTACAGCAGGAAGTACATGGGCTTCATGGACGTGTGCGTCGATGGCTTCCTGTATGGCTGCTCCGAATGGGCAATGTGGACATTTGAAGGGGCGACGTTTATCGGTTGTATGCTTCCGGATATGATTGTTAAGCTGGCCTGCCTGAACAAAACCGGCCCCACAAACTCGGCAGAGGAATGGCTTGACTTTCGTATGCAAACGTTGGTGATCGATAACGTGCGAGGCCTGCTTGAAAGCCTTTCCACAAAAGTTGCATTTGTAAGGGCGATCATTCGTGTGGACACGCCAATGATCACGCAAGTTCTGCTTTCGAATAAAGACTTTACCGCAGTTTTCGAATTCACAGATATACTCTCCAGTGGCACGAGCTCGCTGTTTCGCGCCGTTTGCCGGCCGTACCAGACCAGATTGACTGATTCCATTTGGCGTTAGGCTCGGCGGGGGCAATATAGCCGGAGGCTGTTGAACTACGCGTTTGCGTGATCCTCGTCGCGTGTTTTTACTCGTTCTCCTTTCGCTGTCATCTCTCGCGACGGGATAGTCCAGTACCGTAGTATTGTCCACGCTTTCAGCTTCAACGTCGAAAAGCTCCGGCTCGAATTCGATTAGTCCTTTAAACTCGTCTTTTTCTGTAAATGTAACCGAAGGTGTGTTCGGTGTACTCACCACGTTAGCTTCTGGCTCAAACTCAACGATCCTTTCAAGGTCCAAGGATTTGGCTAACGTACTCTCTGATAATTTTTCTGGACAATCTGACAAGAAGCTTTTTCTAGTCTTTGACGGCACTGGCTTCGGAACATCGATCTCCGTTACAGATTGATTCGAGATCGGTACCGATGCTATTGATGACATCATCCTACAAGGATATCTCTGTATAGGGATTTTTCTTGATGGGAGTAACACAACAGAGTTTGCAGACGCTTGCGAAATATTTGGGTCCACTTGACGCCGTAAGGCTTTAGGCGTGCTATACTGAACTGAACGAAAACCATTTGAATTGATAGTAACAACCTTTATGGGTACTGGCTTCAGTTGTGCATTATGTACCAGGGAAGTTTGTCCAGCCGCGGTGGTGACGCTGCTTGAGGTGCCCGTTACCGCTACGGACGCGTTATCTATACTCGTTTGAAACTGACTCCTTCGAGTCGATAGAGGTTTCACTTGACGTGGAAAGACCTGCTTCCTTTGACTGACTCCCTTAATTGTGCCATTAGCTTTTTGATCGCAAGTAAGAAGGCGGGCATCTACTTTTAGAGACGTTGCTATAGGCGCTTCGTTCAGAGTTCTTGGTTGGATTACGGTAAGGCTTGTAGACAGGGGTTGTCTAAGGGTGCCTGTCAATACAACAGGCTGGATGACCTTGTTTGATGAGTTTAATATAGAGGTTACGATTGGACCACCACTTGACTTTGCATCTGCCCCCAGAGCTGGGCCCTCCGGGCTCACTGGAACAATGACCAACGGCATAGCCGAAAGAACACGACCAGATGTAGGCTCCTTTTGATTGCTTTTGATTAGTAAAGGTCCATAATCGCTGCAACGCTCCTTCTTTATCACAACCAACCGCACTGGCTGATCTGACTGGCCTGATTGGGTATCTGAAAATCCGAAAGTAACCATAATCGGTGTTGAAATGAATTTGTTTTCAGGGAAACAAAGCGTTAACTAATGCATCGATTGCGCGTAATGTATACTTAAACGACGTAAAAACTACTCTAATATTATGTTATCATAACTTCTTCAATCGAAGTATCTAAATGAAATAAACAAGGCCATCCATATTATACTGGCATCGACTAGAACAATTCACACAAAAGAGTCTTCATAAAAACGCATCAATGGTACTCTTCTACATTCTTAATTTTTAAAAAATATATGAAGATAAACGCCTTGGGGCTCTGTTTCTAACCCGCCCTGGGGGCAACCGTTGAAAAATGTAGTGTGCAATGGGACAACGTAGAGGAACTGCTCTGGGATCACTAAGTCACCTTATTGAAGAGGGCAACATGATCAAGGCGAACATCTAACTTTACAAGTACAGTTGATAATCTCGGCTAAGTAATAATCTTAGTCTGTACAATAACCTAATATTGATGGTCCGATGGTAGTTAGCGCAGCCTGGGTGACAGTTTGGTATGGAGCCTCTGATAAAACTTCATCCGCCAATTCCTCTTTACTCTCTTGTTTGATCTTGATAGCTGAGCAAGTGGTGTCTCCCATCGCCGAAGCCTCAAACACGATATCAACTAAAATTGTTCACACGCTTAGGTAATACCCATTATGGCTACATTGTGCACAGCAGTAAGTATGCATATATATAT